AGCAGGAATCTGATGGAAGCCTCTGCCTTGCGTGCAGATAAGATGCTTACTACAGAACAAGGCAGCGGGCTCCGAAGGTATCTGCAAGGACTCAGCAGGTTCTGGAAGCCAGTGTCTTGCCAGAGAAGCGGATCTGCCGCATCACGTCCCTGTGCGGGGCAGCAGCCTCTGACATTTGTGCATGCAGGGCAGACAGTGTCCTGCTCAGTTTTAAAATGGCACCTTGTGTTTGCGCAAGGCAGCGACTCTGGTCTCCTCCTGAGCGTGATGCTGTTGCCTTATTTTTCCCTACTTCGAGGCTGTGCAAGTAATGCAGATATTCTGTTTAATCTGATAGAACATAGACTTTTTCATGGAATACACATGCAATATGAAAATCATCAATCCCCAGGCTTTAGAAGTATTCCAATAGTCTTAGAGCTGAGTTACCTCAGTATCTGTCAACTCCTCGGAAAATCATGTCTTGCAATAATAGGGTAAGAGTGGGTAATGGGAGGAAGATTTAAGTGTTTATCCACAACCATTGAAATGAAATTGCTCTGCAGGATAGTATGTACCGCTCTGGATATCACAGAAGTCTCAATGTTTTTATCTAGGAAGCTGAACTTATCAGAAATATCCAGGAGCTTTTGAAAAGAACTTTGACGCAAGCTGGTAACCAGATGCGGTAAGACATCTTTCACGATACCTTAGTAGCTAATTTATATAGCCAAATAATTCCTGGCATATGGGGTACAATGCCCAGTGGATAAAGATCTTATCAATGCCAGGCTTATGCGCCATGTGAATTCCATTTAAACCTGAAAAGAGGTACTCAGTGATGAAACTTGAGGATTTTCAAGTAGGGTAAAGAAAAGAACTATGCCCTAAAGCCATGCTTTAGATTTTCAGTCCTGGTTTCCAGTATGTGTATTCAGTTCTCTAATTTTCCAACACTAAACTTAAGCGCAATAAAAGTATTATCTGGATATCACTCTACCTTGTTGCACCTTGTGATAGATTTGTAGTATAGGCTCTTTTAAAATAATTTATCTGATCAGAGGAGCTTTTCAAGATGAGGTTTTTGCCGCCAGATGTCAGTATGAACCTAAAATATGAAACTTCACTCTCCCTTCTGTATCAGTATGGATGTTCATTGCATTTCAGAAGGAATGTTTGCTTTTAATGTATAACAAGCCCTTGGAAAGATGTTACCTGAATCCTAAGGTGCATCAGTATGAAGGAGTTAACTGCTGGAAGCCTTGATATTTTAGTTTTTAAAATTTTTGAATCTGCTCCAATTTGTGCAACTCTACCAGATAAAAAGAAATATTGTTTTTAGAAAGAATGTCTGTAAATGCAAAATAATTTATAGTTCTGTTACATTAATTACAGTATGAGAGGAGCCTACTGAGTTTAGGCTTCGCTTTCTATAATTGTTTTAAGATCGTTTTAGTACCATTTAGTACCATCGTTTAGTATCATTGGCCAGCAGTAGTTTAATTCCTTAGGAGAGAGTGACATCTGGTGCTAACAGTTGATAACAACCCACTGTCTTTTGTAATCTAAAGTCATTCTAATTAATTTGGTGACATGTGACTCATTTAATTGACAACAAAGCAGCAGTTTTAACGCTGAATATCATTGTACTTGTATCTTCTAAGGACAAATTACACTGCCTGTGTGCTACAGTCTTTGAAAGGCTGGATGGGAGGGCTCGGAGAATGATACAGGGTCACTTTATGGAGGTCTTAAATTTGAGTCACGCTCAATATACTAGTGAAAGAGGAGGATGGGTCTTCTACTAGCACTACCTGATGCCTTATCATGGGAAGAGTGTTCTGTTGGGCAAACCTCCTACCTATTCTCCCCATAATAACTGCAGCTGTAGCCACTATTGAAAAAATCCTCTGTGTTTTAGGATTATTATGTAAAATCCAAAGTCCAACAACTCCTTTATCTCAGGCTATAAGTGGGCATAGAACAGTACTGAAGGTGTAGGGTAGTGGTTAACACATCAGGCTTACTGACCTTCTAGCAGATAGTTGTGGGAGAGAGAGTTTGGTCAAGATTTTCAAGACAAAAAGACAAGTTTATGTTCTCATTGCTCTTTGAAAGACAAAGGCTCAGAGCCTAGCTTCACAAATGTCTGTGATAGTTTTGTTACTTGTATTGTTTTCTACTAACAATGTGTGATAATAATGACTTTCAGATTAAATCGAGATCACAAAGAGATTTGTGAAATGGACTGGTCAGACAAAGTTGAAACATACAACATTGATGATAAATGTGGAAGATACAGTAACCAGAGCACCAACATCCAGTTCCATCCTACTTCAGTGAAGTTTGAAGAGAGGTGAGTAGTTACTGTCATTATCCTCCCCAAATAACCCTGGTAAGATACAATACATCCTTTGCATCAGTGAAAGCTGTAATGCTGCTCTGAATTAAAGGTGTGATTGCTGCTTCTTTGGACATACAATGTCATAGCTTTAAAATAGCTACATGGATAGTAAAGGTAGTGCTACCATCTCAGCATGGCATACCACTGATGGCAAAGTTGGCTCACTATACGCAAAATGAGCGTGTAGAACTTTTTCTTGGAAATAATTGGCTTTATACTTTTAAAGGCTGATCTCAGTCCTGTTGAGACTTACCATTTGACATGGGCAGGCATGCCGTCCTTTCGGGAAAGGCAAGTGCTGCTTCCTGTACGCAGAGAGGATTACTATTGCAATAAATCTTCCTGCTTCCCCCTCCCCTTTCAGGCAGTGTTCATATGATGCAGTGTCCCGAGTGCTATGGCAAAGTATAACCAGAGATCTTGTTTCTTTTTGTTTCAAAGTAGACACAAACTGTAAAGCTTGGATATATTCATGTGTTTATTTGCTGGTGACTTAATTACTTGTGCTTGCACAAAAAACATGTGTATACTTTTTTTGCCTTAGTAGTATTAGCTAAAGATGGAAGAACTTTGGATGATTTTTGTGTCATGTGTTACTTCCCTCAGAAGGCACAAGATGAATGAGAGTTTACTAATTTTATAAAGGATTAGTCTTCTTCCTTCATGGTAAGTCTAGACTGCATGCAACAGCAAAAGCACATAGAGGTTGACAACACTTCTGCAGGGAGAGAACCAGCTTCAGATTGTCTTCTTAAGTGCAACTTGAACAAAAGAGCAAGGTTCCTATTTGTATATCATTCACCTCTTCTTCCAGTGCCTCAACACCGGAGACATGGGCCAAGTTCAGTCATGACAACATCTATAGGGCAGAACGAGAAAAAGTGGCTTCCATCAATCTTCGTGCCTTGATTGACAATATTCTTCATGACGTATCTGAGGACCTGAGGATGCAATGTGCTGCTGTTAATGAGGCTTTTGCCAAACACTGTGAGGAGCTGGATGATACAAAACACAAACTAGAGCATCATTTGAAAAAAGTAAGTGTTATTTTTTTAATGCTGGCTGCAGGCATGATAGTCTTTGAGGAGATCACAGTAGATCTATCCTCTAGAAAAAAATGTCTTTGTCCATGTCAGGTATCGAACACTATTTTGTGTGAGCTTAGTATCTGAGAAGAGTCTTCAGTATCTGATAAGAGTCTTCAGAGCTGGATTGTGGCTCCAGTTCAGCTTTTTCTGCTATCTGTTGTGCTTCTCTAAACAAGAGACGGGACTTAAATATGAAAAAAATTAAACACTTTCTTCCATGTCTTGCTGAACTAAAAGCTAAAACCATGTGATCGAGGAGCTGATCTTTGGGCCAGGATTCCCAGGCTGGCCTGGTTATCATTTTTATGGAATGAAAGCCATGCTGTGCTGCAGTAGTAGCAGCAGCAGCAGTTCCTGGCAAGTGACAAGAGGTGTCTTCAGCCTCTGCCCTTTCTCCAATGTGGAGCAGCTCCTACTTCTATGTTAGACCATTGGCAAGTGTGGAAAAAATAGTCATTCCTTAGCACCTGTTGGGTAATGACAGCTGGGTAGACTTTATTTTTTGCATGTGTGTCAGTGGTTATGAGGGAGAAAGGATTCAGAATTTTCTGTCTTTTCCCTTTTCTTCACTAATGCCAGAAATCCATGCATTTTCAAGCTGATCAGCAGTTCTCAATCTCATTCAAAATAACTTGAATTTTTCTCGGATAATTTACAGTTAAAAATTTACAACTAAAAGCAATTCATGGAGGTGGGATGTGTTGTCAGAAGACATGGAGGAGTTTTTGAACAGGCTGCAGAATATTTTCTGCTTCTTTTTAGACCAAAGATCAGATTCTCAGTGTAGTAGTAGAAATAAAGAGGTCAAAACCACCTTTGTACTTCTATTTGTTCTATATTCTGGCCAAATAGGAGGTCAAAACTATAACTGATTCAATAGGACCATGAACATATGTATAGCATGCACAGAGGCAACATGTATCTTTTTTTAAACAGTTCTTTTTCTTGGGTATCCTCTTTAGATCCTTAAGGAGATTGGCGATCAAGAAGCTAATATCGCCGCTCTCAAACAAGCTATCAAAGACAAAGAAGCCCCAATGAAAGTTGCTCAAACAAGGCTGTATGACAGGTCTTTTAGGGCCAACGTAGAGCTCTGCAGAGATGAAACACAATTCAGGTAAACGCTCTTAAACAAGTCCTCCAAGGAGTCCATTCTATCCAGAAGTGATGTTAGACAGTTTTTGCATTTTTTATTGGCAACACATAGCCTTTAGCTTTTATTACTAGGTTTGATTCTGATATAAGTCAGAAATAATTCAATTACTGAAATCACTGTGAGGAAAATATAATTTTAACTTAATGTATTGACAAACAGAAAATCTACAGGCTCAACTCTGCCTTTTGTCTCTATGCTTTCTCCTCTGAACTGTGTGGTTTCTTTTTGATTTGGATGATCCAAAAAAATCTGACAGCGTGCGGATCATTTGCAACCCTTTTGCTGTTAGCAAAAGTTCACCACAAGGTGGACTATGTGCCGAGTGAATTATGCTTCAAGTGCCGAGAATGTAAATGGGCTGTACATATTCATAGTCTGAGACAAGTTCTCAGTACTACCAAGCATGAGGCTGGTGGCATTTGATTTTCAGTAATAATCCGTTTTAAAACTGGAGGTCAACAAATCCTTTCAAATTAAAGGTCTGAGTGTCACATTTGTCAGTTTTGATCTCATTATAAGCTTTGTAATTGATTCTCCTCCTTCACATTTTCCTACCCTTAGGAAAAGTGGGGAATCGGCTTTTGCAGGCTTACAAGATCCTTGTAGCAAAGGTGCCTACCATTCAAAGCCGATATGCTGTTCTTTATATGTAGTTAATCCAAGTGCTTTGTACCATCTCAGGCACACTCATTGAAGGTCCTGATTCAGCAAACCATCCATGCGCAAGCTTTTCAGTATGTACATTGCCTTTAATGGGATTTAAGGACACATGCGAGTCCTCTGCTGAATGGGCATGTGTTTAATTGCCAGGCTTACGCTGTTTGTAGTTACTCAGTTTGCATAGCACACAGGCATCCTGTTTTCCCAGGAAGGAAATCTGTGCCTTCTCTGCAGGCAGATCGCAGGAAAGCACCTAACCCTCACTGACTTGCAGTTGAAATTATGTACTTCTTAAAAATGGTTTGCTGCTTTTTTAAAAAGGGTGTGCTGCTGCTTCTTTAAAAGCATGTACGCTTTTAGAGTAAAGACTGTTTTCCGATCTCTGGTGCAAGTATCACCTTTAATACTTGTGTTTTATACCAGTGAACAGATAACAAAAAACAGGCTTAACGAAATGCTGATCCAGTCAAACTGGGTGACTTACCTAACAATTTCTGTCCTATAATTCTTAGTACAAGTGTCCTATGGAGTGGGAGAAGGTGAGGATGGGTAGTTCCACTGTGCTTAGTGGCAAAAGACATTCTTGGTACTACCTAAATCATGGGAGACTTCTGTACAGAAGCTGTGAAAGTGAGCTCTGCTTTTGACCAAGTACGTAGGACCTCTCTAAGATCCTCTGTTGTTGAGTATTATGATTCTATAGCTGTTGATCTTTATTCCCATTAGTGTTCGTATGTCTTTTTGAACACCGACTGGCTTCTGCTCTTTTTTTTATTACTTAATGTAATTCTGTTCAGGTTGATCAGTGAAGCTGAAGAACTAACAGAGTCCATTGAATCCCTGAAGAAAAAACTGCTGGAATCTGAACAGTGTCTGAGGAACCTGGAAGACACACGGATGAATTTAGAAAAAGAAATAGCTGTGAAAACAAACAGTATTTTTATTGATAGGCAGAAGTGCATGGCCCATCGCACACGCTACCCTGTTGTTCTTAAATTAGCAGGTTACCAGTAGTAATCTCTGTACTAACTATGCAAAGTCTGAAAGAAAAATGTAGTCTAGAATCTTTCATATAAAATACATGGATAATATTATACACAGAAGTACTGTATTCACTGTTATTTTCCTCTACTTTCCTCTATTTGGGGTAAAATGCATTAGTATCGTGGGCTTTGAGTCTTGCCTTTAGAAGTTCAGTCTGAGCACAGATGTCTATAGTGAGTTTAAAATGCAGCTTAAAGGTAATTCATTGCATCTAGAATTTATCTATAGCATACATGCATAATTTGCACAGTATGTGATATTTGGGGTTTTCATCCTAATAAGTGAATATGTTGAGCGAATATTTATTGTGAATAATAATAATATACACAGATGGAGATATAACATTTATAGCTTTCTAGCATTTTCAGGCAGCCTGAAATGAGAGCAATAAAACTGCTTGCCTGACAGAAGATCACATGAGCAGCAAGGAAACTAAGCTGCTCAAACATTATTAGTTAAAAAAAAAGTTTGCACAGGTTAAATGACAATCTGACTATGGGCAAAACCACTTCCAGGCTGTGACACCTGCTTATGTAATCTGGAAATGAGTCCAAGCATTTTTAACCTCCAAGTCAATAAATTTAGCTTTTTTTTTTCAGAAAAAAAGCTAAACAGCTTGTGAACAGCAATCGTGACTTTCAACTTAAGCACTTGGATTGTGAATTGAGCTCTTGATCTGTTCCAGGCATTCCCTGGAAGCAAGGCATGTGTTTGAACTATTCCCCGTAACGGAGAACACATCAGATTCATCTGCTCAAGTAGAGCAACGTAACAAATGTCATTCATTCATTAGCTTAGTAGGCCACTTGGTTAAATAGGTGACGTGTCAAAAAAGGGGAAAAGATGACATGGAACAGAATCCCATTATGGTTTCCTGTATTACAGATTTTTACTTTGAAAAAGCAGCTGATCAAAGAGAAAAAAAAAACCAAAACCAAACTCAAAAAGCAAAGCACACAAAAAACCTGCCCTCGCCAGTGTACATTTCTGAATAGCCCTGCAGGAGAGGCCATTAGCCTATCTGTTTTTCTCACAGATGGCTATTTGTATTATCTTAACTCAGGATGTGCAGAGGACTATTCAGCAATTGCCCTCCTGCTAAAAGCTGCTACCATTTCTTTGAAAACCAGCTACGTCAGTGAGGGCTTTTGACCCAAGCTTCTGTTTTACAGGTTTTGTGTTCAAGAGTTTTGTTTTGCTTTTTTTAATAGATTTCCTCTTCATGATTATATTTTTATAGTCCAGATGTTGAATCCTTATTAGAGATAAATGGCATGCAGGTAAAAAAGAAAAAAAACCAGGGGTTCTACTATGTTTTTCTGTGCACAGAACTTAAAACAGTTACTAAAGATTATTTTTGTACCCTGAAAGCATTCTCTTTCATTCTGCCTTTCTTAAAACACCTTCAGCACCTTTCTTCTTGGCAGCATATTCTAGCCTGTTCTTCATGCTCAAATCTTCCAGCCTGATGGGTGGATCACACACCTTGTATGCAGCTACACCACTGCACAGTTGTGTATAAAACTGACTTTAGCTGCACCAGAAGAATAAAAGGCTTTACGGGGTGTTCCACTATTCGGAGCTGTGGTGTTAAAAGAGTTTTGGTCATTTAGCTGCAGCCCCTAGCCCAGTGCTGCTTGTTTGGTGGCATGTACATCTCTAGGTGTACACGTAAAATAGAGGGAAAAATAAGACAGTGAACCAGGCTTTAGACTAATGGGAATATTCACGGAAACCTTTCAGAAAGGACAGAAAGGAGCAACATGTTCAAATTGACCTTACTCACCCACTAAAGGAAAAAAAAAGTGGAAGCCAAGTGGAATTTGGGTTATGAGATGGGATGAGGAGACTATGCAGTCCAGGACCCAGAACGATTATTTTGATTCAAGAGTTTTGCATCAGAGAGAGGAAAAGCAAAGCGCTGTCATCTTCTCTGAGACTGTGCTGACTACAAATAACCTTATGCCCCATATTGGGTTGTAAATGGAGCTTTCCCTAATTAAAGCCTATCAGTTTAATTTACCTTTGTGAACTAAATTAGTCTGCCCTTGCTTTAGGCCAATCAAGGAGAATCCTGCTCTGGTAAACCTTATACACTGGCAGGAGCGTAATCACTGCCCTATTCACATGGTAATAGCTGAATACCAGCAAGTTGTAAGAGTGAGAATCTGATGGAATAGCTTCAAGTTTCAGTAATTACTTTTTCTTTAATTACTGATTTCAAAAAATAAGAAATAAAGCCACTGCTCTAGCGTGTAAATACATTTTTATATTATTTTTTGCAATACATTTTAAAGCTGAGGTTTTACCAGGAAATATTAAAAAGATGTTTTAGCTGGCTCTCACATGAGCTATGGTCACAGGTGAGCTATAGCTTCCCGTTGTCTTGAGCTCTACCTGCTAATCCGTATGAAAAGTGCGGACTTTGTTGGCTTCATTAGGATTTTTTTGTTTATTCTGAGAAATTTCTGGTTGTGAAGACAAGGTTTAATTTCTGGAAAGTCTGAGAGTTTTCTCATCTGCCTACAGGTAGAGGAAGAAATGGATGGTGTAATAAATGATACTTTCATAGTGTCTGGTACAGGGATTTCAGGAAAGAACAGGAGTGAAGACCCATTAAAAAGTGTTACTTAAGAGCAGATGACATTCTGCAAGGGGAGCAAAGAAGGTTACAGGGAAATGGGAGATAATATTTGTGTAGTATTTTTATCACAAGTAATTTTTTTTCTCTAGGACTGAAGCTTAGAACAGCTGTCTCATAATTTCAGCCTTGTATTGTGTCACAGGCCACTAAAAAATTTAGTACCAACGTGGCAGACACCAGCACCGAGATGCCCAGGTGAGATTTTTCAGAAGACTCTGTCTCTGCTTTTGGACCCCTGACACACGGTACAAACAATACCTGCTTAAAATATTGATCTTTAATTCAATCTATATGGTAAATAGCCACAAGGACAGCCAGTAACACCAGCTGTGTCTTAAAGAAGAGATCTGAACATGGGCAGTTTTTTCTATTGTTCTTCAGGATTCTGTTTGAGGTAATTTGCAGCGTAATTACAAAATACCCTGCAGAGAAGTGGAAATTGTTTTAAAATCTTTTCCTGAGCAATTTTTCCAAGTAATTTCTGGGTAGTCTCTTAGTTCTGCTGGCCCCTCTAAGTAAATTGCATCCCAACATCAGTCTTAGCAGTAATAAAAGTCGCAGTAACAACTTTATGGCCATGTACAGTGCTCGTTAGTGGCCTATTTTATTCCTAGGATGTATCTGATAGCTCGGTCTCACACTGGGTCCACGGCAGGCTGAGACCAGGAGCAATGAAGAACCTTTAAAGCAGATCCAAAAATTCCTCGCGCAAGGGTTGTTTGCAGGATCATTGCAGGGTTGTTTGCAAGGCTTGTTGCCATATATTAGATCCCTTTTTCCATGTCCAAAGTGGCAGGACAGTCTTCATAGCATTGAGAAACAAATCCCAGCTGGGCAGGAATGAGGAGAACTGGCTGAACAGGGAAAGGTCAGTGCTGCTGATGTGTCCATGAACAACCAACCTGCGCTGGACTTGCCACTCATAACATTATTGCATCTTACTTAGGAACTAAGAAGCATTTGGTGAACATAATTCATCTTGAAAGTTTCTTAAAGTTTGTTTGGAAAACAGCCATCCGCTATTTGTCATTCGTCCTCCTGTTCAGAGTTTATATACATGAAGGTAACAGATACGAAATATTTCATGTTCCCAGGTACCCAGGCAGACTTTGACCAATCCACAGTGTGAGCAAACTGTACTTTGATCCGTTGTCGTTCAAGCTATTAAACCAACGCTTAAGCCCACAATTAAGCCGAGGGGTTATGAAAGCCTGCAAGGAAGGTTGCCTTCAAGACACAACCTTACCGTACCTGCTCACTCCAAGCTCCTTTGTTACTAGAGGCTTTCGCTCTCCGTTCTCTGGGAACATGCTCATCACCAAAAGGATGAGAACTATCTGAGATATGTCCAGAAAACACCCTGTCTCTGTTGCTCCATGGTCAGGGAAAGAGGACACTGCCAAATAGCAAAGGCTGAAACACAGCTAGCCTGGAAGGGAACAATAATTGCTACTGGAAAAAGAACAACCACGATTTTACTAATTATTATGAAATACTCCCTGCTAATTCCTCCCGGCTTTCTTGCGGGCACTGACAGGAGCTGGTAGCTATTCCTCATGCCTTATGGACAGCCGGAGGTCCGCAGACGGCGGCGAACAGCTCTGATTCAGACTTGAGGCACCAAGAAGCCGGGGCTGTGGGAATCCATCCCCTCCCCGGCTCCGCCTGCCTCGTGCCAACACCACAAAGCAGAGCAAGGCCGGCACTTCCGAGCAGCCAACAGGCAGAAAATACCTGGGTTTCGCAGACTGAAATCGGTGCTAATGCCGCTGTCTTTCCCAGCACGGGAAGCTTTGCTCTCCACAAGTTTAACGATCCTTTCACCCTCATCTTCTCAATATTTCACACTTTTTCTGCCAGCCTACATATGAGGAGACGCAGAAAGCCAGGAGATGGGTCACCAGACTCCAGGAGAATGTCAATGAGCTGCCATTCCCCCAGCTCTCCCTCCTGCTCCTTGGCTTGGGTTTACATAGATACGATGCGCACAAGACTGTAGCACATTTTACTAGCCCGGCCCCAGCATGTGAACGATTACATCAGCTCTGCTGGCATTTAGGAAAGCCACGTCGCGCTCCCATGGACGTTCCCCAGCTGAGAACATTATCTGCCCAGTAACTGCAGGACAAGGGAGTGCAGGACGTGGGCTCTCCTGAGCCAAGATTCCTGGCATTTTATGAAACCAGCTTTTGCCCAAGGATAAATTCAAATCTGTAAAACTGAAGGAGGGATCATAAAGCCTCGTAACTCCCATCCATATGACTCAGTGACAGGATGCAATCATGAAAGAGCTCTTAGCTCTCTGTATATATATTTCAAGAGCTGTAAACGAAACACATTGTACCAGCAAAACAAACCCAACCTGCAAGTCGCATGTGGTTTTGGCTTCACCGCCAAAGGACAGGCAGGAGGCGGATGGAGCAGAGAGCAGCCGAGAGCTGTAAAACTGATACCCTGAAGCTTTCTGGACCAA